ATACTCTGGTATGAATCTCTAAAAATCTCTTCTGTTTTGTGTTTTATTTTAATTTAATATAATTGAGGGTTTTTTCCCCATGTTTTATTGTATTAGCATGAAATTTATCATCTTCACTATTTTCAAGTGTACAGTTCAGTGGTAAAGTACATTCATACGTTGTACAACCATCACCATCATCTATCTCTATAACCATTTTCATTCTATACCCATTAAACAATAACTCCTCATCCCTCTCCATCCCCTGGAAAACACCATTCTACTGTCTGTCTCTGATTTGGACTACTCTACGTACCTCATATTGGTGGAATCATACAGTATTTGTCTTTTGTGACTGGCTTATTTTATTTAGCATAATGTCCTTAAGGTTCAAACATGTTGTAGCATATGCCAGGATTTCCTTCCTTTTGAAGGTTGAGTCATATTTCATTGTATGTCTAGAGTACCTTTTGCTTATCTATCTACCCATAGACAGATATTTAACTATTATGACTAACACTGCTGTGAACTTATCTCTCTTCAGGACCCTGCTTTCAGTTCCTTTTGGTATATATCCATAAGTGGAATTGATAAGTGGAATTGCTGGACCATATAGTAATTCTATTTTTAATTAGTTGAGGAACTGCCATACTGTTTTCCACAGTGGCTGCACCATTTTACATTCCCACCAACAGTGCACATGGTTTCCAATTTCTTCACATCCCCACCAACACGTGTTTTTTTTTTTTTTATAGTAGCCATCCTAATGGGTATGAGGTAGTATCTCATTATAGTTTTGATTTGCATTTCCCTAATGATCAGTGATGTTAAGCATCTTTTCATGTGCTTATTGGCCATTTGTATATCTTCTTTGAAGAAATGTCTATTCGAGTCCTTTGCCCATTTTTGAATAAGATTGTTTCTTTTATTGTTGAGTTTTAGGAGTTCTATATATATCCTGAATATTAATTCCTTATCAGATATATGATTTGCAAATATTTTCTCCCATTCTGTGGGTTGCCTTTTTACTCTATTGATATTATCTTTCAATGTACAAAATTTTAAAAATGTTCATGAAATCTAATTTCTTTCTTTTTTCTTTTGTTGCTTATGCCTTTGGTGTCACATCCAAGAAACCACTGACAAATCCAAAGTTGTGAACATTTACCCTATGTTTTCTACTAAGAGTTTTATGGTTTTAGGTCTTACATTTAGGTGACTGATCCATTGGGGTTAATATTTCTAAGTGGTGTTAGATAAGGGTTCAACTTCGCTTTTTGCATGTGGATATCCCATTTCCCTGCACTGTTGAAAAGACTGTCCTTTTCCCATTGAATGGTCTTGGCATCCTTGTCAAAAATCACTTGCTCATATATGCAAGAGTTTATTTCTGGTTCCTCTGTTCTGTTCCCTTGGTCTATATATCTGTCTTTATGCCAATACCACACTATTTTGATTTCTGTAGCATTGTAGTAAGTTTCGAAACCAGGAAGTGTAAATATTCCAGCTTTGCTCTTGTTTCAAGATTGTGTAGTCTGTCCTGGGCTATTTGATATTTCATATGAATGTTAGGTTAGGTTTTCCTATTTCTGCAAAAAGCATCATTGGGAATTTGCTAAGGATTGCATCAAATCTATAGATTACTTTGGGTTGGGTAGTACTGACATCTTAACAATATTAAGTCTCCCAATCCATGAATATGGGATATCTTTCCATTTATTCATGTATTCTTTAATTTCTTCCAGCAGTGTTTTAAAGCTTTAATTGTACAAGTCTTTCACCTCCTTAGTTAAATTAATTCCTAAGTATTTTATTCTTTTTGATGCTATTGTAAATAGAATTGGTTTTGTAATTTTCAAATTGTTCATTGTTAGTATATAGAAATGCAACTGATTTTTGTGTATTGACTTTGTATCCTGCTACTTTGCTAAATTTATTTATTGTAACAAGTTTGTTTTTTTGTGTGTGTAATCTTTAGAGTTTCATACATATAAGAGCATATCATCTGTGAGCAGAGATAATTTTACTTCTTCCTTTCCAACTTGGGTGCTTTTAATTTCTTTTTCATACCTAATTGCTCTGGCTAAAACTTTCAGTACAGTGTTGAACACAAGTAAGTGGAAAAAGCGGGCATCTTTGCCTTGTTCTTGATCTTAAAAAAACAGCTTTTAGCTTTTCACCGTTGAGTATGATGTTCACTGTGGCTTTTTCAAATATGACTTTTATTATGTTGAGGTAGTATCTTTCTATTTTAAGTTTCTTTAGTGTTTTATCATGAAAGGGTTTTGAATTTTCTTATGCTTTTTCTGCATCAACTGAGGTGCTATTTTTTGTCCTTCGTTCTGGTATTAATGTGGTTTAGTACATGATTGATTTTCATAATTTGAAGCTTCCATTTCTTCGAGAAATAAATTCCACTTGGTCATGGATGTATAATTCTTTTAATATGCTGCTGCATTCTGTTGGCTAGTGCTTTTTTGAGGATTTTTATGTCCATCAGAGATATTGGCCCATAGTTTTCTTTTCCTGTAGTGTCCTTGGCTGGCTTCGTTATCAGGGTAATGCTGGCCTCACAGAATGAGTTAGGAAGTGTTCCTTCCTCTTCAACTTTTTAAAAAAAAATTTGAAAAGGATTGATATTAGTTCTTCTTTAAGTCTTTGCAAGAATTCACCAGTGAAGCCATTGTGGAAACGCTCTAATTCCTTAAAAGCCCAAGACTCTTGGGCCAAGAGATACAAATTACAGAGCTAAAAGGGACCTTAAAGCTTTTCTTGCTCAGCCACTACTCACGAGCAATTTGGCCACAATTATGTACAGGACATTCCAAAAGTCTCCATACATAGGAAAAATTAACAAACTCATTTTATTTTATACTATATTTTACATAACTTTGTTCATGAAACAAA